CATGCTGTAGGAAGCTACAGGGGACTCCCTTGAGGGTTTGGGGCGGCTGTGTTTATGGGCAAGAAGTGCAAAGAGGAGGAAGTCTAGCCAGAGGCTAACCAGTAAGTTTTTGGCTTGAGGATGGGGAGAGATTCTAGGCTGGTGCTCATTGCTGAGGAGATAAGTCTCGGTCTTCTGTAAATCAGGGGTTTAATGGAAGTCAGTCTCTCGGTTCTTGAGTTCCGTTCTTCTGAGGGCACCTGTGTGAGATTCTCCATTTTGTAGCCTCTGGTTCCATTTTAGATTGAAATCCTTTCACACTCCTCAAACTTTAGTGTGGAAACCAATTACCTGGAGATCTTATTAAAATGTCCATTCTGACTTAGTAGGTCTGGAGTGGGTTTTGAGTGGGATCTGAGATTTTTGCATTTCTAACAAGATCCCAAGTGATGCAGCTGCTCCTCAGACCATACATTGAATAACTGGGCCCTAAGGAACACAGAATCCAGGCCAGGGAGACCTGGAACATTCACTGTATCAGTCATCAATGACCTTCCTATCATTGAGGAATCTGGCACATCCAGAATGACCGATAGTACTTTCCAGGAACTGGGACATTCAGCCTGCGGGATTGGAAACTGACCAAGATCTGTTTAAGACGCTCAGATGGAAAAATTCACTGGTGCCAGAAGTCTCGGTCTTCTGTAAATCAGGGGTTTAATGGGTGAATATAAAGAATATTGCTACTTTAAAGAAGGAAATGTTGGTCTCCATAAAGCTTATCACTGGACTTCTTAGGATTAAAGAACTTTGCTTAGTTTTTTAGTAAGGTTCATTGGGAAAATGTCTGACTCAGGGGAAGTGGGAAAAGAGACGCAGGATTTGTTGCAAAGTGCTCTAATAACAAGCAAGCCAGATACTTCTCATGGAGGAGGACAGGAGGAAAAGGAGAGAAGCAGCAGAAGGCCTGGAAGAAATCAAATGATGTTTTCTCCAGGAAGCCTGACCTCAGTGAGACTCTAAAAGCAGTGGCCCCCAGGCAGCCCTTCTGCTCCCAGGAGATAGTGCAGATTAGATTGGCTTTATGCTTAGCAGGCAGGCCTTGATGCTGATTTCTCTTGACCTTCTCATGTGATTCTTGTCAGCCTGGCCCTCATTTGTTAAGCTTGCTTTAATTATGTCCATAATGGCTCATTATTTTTTATAAAGGAAGCAGCAAAGGAAACAATTATGCAAATGATGAGGTTTGTTGTTCACTGAGGAATCCTGGGCTAATTAGGCAGTGGTGCAAAAAGACCAGTGCCAAATATAATGCCAAAAAGAATCTGCTAATCTCTATCTCTGAGATCTCTGAGTACCTAGAAGATAAACTCAATACCCAAGAACAAAGATAAAATGGCAGAAGAACTCACCTAAGGCCAGGGGCTTTGATCAGAACAGCTATGTAATCTCCCTTGCTAAAGTGGAAGGCTTGTCTAAGCTGGCCAAGACCAAGCTTCTCCAAGCAGCATCTCCTTTTTAGTTCAGTCTTCAGCCATCAGATGGAAAGGATTTGTGTATTTGGACATAGTATTCTTTCCTCTGGTCTCTCCTGTGGAACATCTCATTCATTCATTCAACCTATTTTAATTCCATCTAGTTAAAATCTTTACCTAGAAGGCCCTGTGTGATTTGGATGCTTATTACCTTAACCAATGTCATCTCTTCATAATGCAGCTCACTCGTCAGAGGTGGCCTTCTTTCAGACTTAAATTTCCAACTTTCTTTGATTCTTTATTTTCTTGATGAAGAAGATTGTCCCTCAGCTAACATCTGTGCCAATCTTCCTCTATTTTGTGTGTAGGACACCGCCATAGCATCTCTTGATGAGCGATGTGTAGGTCCATGCCTGGGATCCAAACCTGTGAACCCCCGGCTGCCAAAATGGAGCTCGTGACCTTAACCACTATGCCACTGGGCTGGCCGCCCTTGATTTTTGATCTTTTACCTACAGTGTATTAATCCTTCAGCATGTAACCCCTAATTCTGGATTTATTAGATTAGATCAGGAACATATTCATATGCCTTTTTCCCATGCTACCCTGTATTTCTCCCTTAGGCATTTATAATATGGGGAATTCATTGTTCTTGTAAAATGACCTAAGCTAACATGGTCATTTATAAGTATTACATCTTCTCCAGAACTCACAACCAGCAGGAATATTACACGGAAGGCAAGTCTCAAAATGGATTCTGCACAACAAATATCATCAAGCAGGCACCAAAACCTTCACATAGCCTGTTCTGTTAGCTCAGTGAAATCCTAGCTCTCTGACTTTTTATCCATCCAGACAAGCTCTTAATTAAAGGGTTCATTTGAGGCAAATGTGAAAATATTCTAGCAGCAAGATTCAGCTAAATTTCTAATCAGTATCAAATACTGCCTAAATGGTAGGGTATAGGACCAGGAGAAATGACAAGGCCTCAAGCATCATTTCAAAAGATATAAGGCCAATAGGTTTGCTAGATTCTTGTATTTGTTTACATAAGGGAGTAGTGCCTATACAATATTTTCAGTCATTCCGTACAATTTGAAGATCATTTATTTCACCAAAGAAAAATTATTTCCAACATCCATTATACTAAGCAACAAATCTTCTGGCGTTGATCAAATATGAAGATAACTAGAGCCTATGGTAGCTGTCTCTGGAGTGTGAATTTTGATTAGTCTTTCAAATGCTAACTAGCCACTCCTAAAGTGTGTATTTCTGATTAGGGAGTTCAGATATTAACCAACCACATCTAGAATATAAATTAAAATGACCGCCTATATATCACACAGTCTGTGAAGTAAAGTAAATTGCAGACAAGGCAGCAATTTTTAAATTTGCAGATTAATGTCTGGTTTACTTAGTGGAATGTAAGCCTCACGGATGGGGAGGGGACTTGTTCATATCATATACCCAGAGTCTGCACAGTTCCAGACTCAGAGCAGGTGACCAAGAAATGTTACTGGAATAAATGGAGGTCACCCGCCAACGTCTCCCTCTTCCTTCCCAGTTCTGCCTTTTTACTTCTCATTTTCTCTTGTCACTCTCCTTTCTTTGCCTTCCTTCCTTGCTGTATTTCTCTCTCTGTCTCTCTTTCTTTCTGTCTCTCTCTTGTCACCTCTCCCCGCTCTCTTCCTCTTCTTATTTATGTGGGAATGTCATGTGGCTTTTTCAGAATTCTGGCAGAATATTCTGCCATTGAAGAACTTCAGTGTTTGAAGACTTGCTTTCTCTTGATTTGGTTGCCTTGAGGCTTTCTACTTTCTTTGTTTCCTAATCTGTAAAGGGAGGTAGCAGAGTGCCTATCTTAGAGGGGTGTTTTGACAATTTGTGGAGTGTTCCCAGCAGCCTGTCTCCCCGCTCCACCACCTGTTTCTAATTTAGCCCTAGCCCCTGTTTCACTAATTATTTGATTTCTTTAATTTCATTAGCCACAATACCATTCATTTCTTTCTCTACTGCTCTTGAGAACATGAAAACGTAGCGTCTTCTTTGCTGAGTGTGTATATGACACCAAAACTCTTAATCTCAAGTTCTCGTTTCCCTTGCACAGCAAGTCTAACACTGAGACATCGGTGCTTGGAGATGGAGAAAGATTTATTCAAACTGGCCAAAATGAGTAGGTGGGAGCCTGGGTGGGCTCAAATCCATCTTCTCCGGAACAGAAAGCAGGGGGTTTTCAGAGAGCCAAGGAGCTTGGCAGGAGGAGCTTCAGGGAAACAGAGGGGTCGCTCCTGATAAGCCCCAGGGCAATCTGATTTTTGGGCTTCAAAGGCTACAGAGGGCCAGTCGTCTGGTGAGTGCAGCCTCCCCAAAGGCCTTCTCTTTCTTACGCAAAACAAGCTCACAAACACTTGAGAAGACCCCTGAGTCGCAACTCAACCTAAACAGGAAAACAACAAATTGGCCTAATATCTACAGTAACCTTCAGGTATCTGGCTTCATATATGTGTGTGTAAGGCAGGGGGTGGCAGGCCAAGGAGAAATGCTTTGCTCTGCTCATCTTTCTCTTCTAGCTGGATTCTCTTAGACAAACCGGTTAACCCCTTTCAGCTTTTGTTTTCCTATCCATAAGAGGGGGTTATGATGCCAATCTCACATAGATGTCATGAGGATAAAATGAGATGAGTATATACGAAGAGGGTTGGCCCAGATAGATGCTCATCAAATGTTAATGAAATTGAATGATTCTTTCTAACCAATTGTAACATCAGGGTTCAATGAGAAAGCTGACCTTTTGAGCTATGGGTAAGGGATTTATTACAAGAATTAGACCCTATACAATTGTGGGAGGCTAGGGAAGTGAAAGTCTGAAGGGTAAGTTGGAGGATCACAGAAGACACCCACCAGTCAGTCTGAAAGCCGGCCCCATCCAGCTGCCAGAGTGAGACCAAAAAGGGATCTGATGGAGAGGTCTGTGGGGAGCTGTTGCCTGTCTAGATCCACAGCCACGCATCTGTTGACAAACCTGGGATAACAGCAGAGTGAGCAGTCAGGAAGGAGAGCCTGACCATGAGTTAGGAGAGTGACAGCAATGTGGAACCCGCTGGGCCCTGCATCTTTCTGTCACCCACATCTAAGCTTGATAACCTTAGAAAATAATGGCTGCTAATTCATTTCAACCTTCCAAATCTCATGCAAATTCCAATTTTGACCTACTTTAACTTTGTATAATATACAGGTTTAAGAATTCTGGGAAGTGCAGTTTCAGCTTTACCAAGTTGACACGGGAAAATCGCTATGCCAATATTTTCCTGTTTACAGCTAAATCCTTTTGGCTTTGATTTAAATAACTTCTTTTTTTCCCCCAAGAAATGCCAAAGATTATCATTTAACCATGATCATAAGTTTATGGAGTTATATAAAGTAATATTCTAACGGGGTTCAAGTCCTCTACCTTGCACTAGAAATGCAATGTCACACAAGAGAAGGATTTTGATGTAATCATATTAATTTTCTTACAAAGGGAGATTGTTTTGATTATAACTTGGGTTTAAATTTCAAATATACACTAGCAGTTACCACATCCAGGGTCTTTATATTGCCTTCATTTGTTTTTTATTTATCTCCTCCCAGTAGATTTTAAGTTTCGCTGTCTATCTTGCCATCTCTTCTCTGAGCCTCTTGGGACTCTGTCATGAGCAGCCTGGACTCTTGCAGACCTGTGCTTCTGTATCTCCGTGGACCGAGAACACAATTGTTAAAAGATTAAAATAATAGGTACCATCTTCGACTTGTTGAGAAGAAATAAATATTAAGCTTCTTAAGTACTTAAGAACAGGTCCTTAAAATTTTCTTAATAAAATTTGCCTCCCTTCCCTGAGGCTAATAGAACAACTGTGAGGCCTCTGACTTCAGGAAGTCGGTGTAGTTTAGAGCGTGAATCACCTTCCTAGCTAAGCCATGGGGAACAGGAAGAGGAGGAAGATGCTGGCCCTGTCTCAAGGGGTTTGATAAGATGACTTTATGAGTGAAGTACTCTGGAGGAAAACATGGCCAGTTCTCAGGGAGGAGAGGGCAGAAATCGAGGGAAGCAAACTAGAAAAAGCGCCTTCAGTTGCTGGCCCTTCTAAGATTTCGTTAAGCAAAGAAAATGGGCAGGGTGTTTATGCCCCTAGAGGAAACTCAAGGAGATATGAACATTTAATTAATCTTTTAGCAGCCCTGGCTGAGTGAGCTGAGAAGTTTTGTTCTTATTTCGACAAATTGAAATCTGACAAGAATGGATATGGGAGAAGACAGAGAGCCAGCAAGATAGAATGAGTTTGTGATCGTAAAAGGTAAGTTGTTAAGGAGATGAAGTTTATTTTTAGCATGTCCATTTATCCTCTGGGGCCTCTGTAACCCCCTTGGCACTCGGGGTCTCAGTGACAGTGTGCTATCTATGGCTGCTCCCCTATTTTAAAGCCGTGCCTTGGCTCCCCAGGACTCACATTTCCCTATTAAACCCTACTTGTCTTCATCTTAGTCTTTTGAGGCTCTGTTTCTTACGCTACTTCTTTAACCAGACACTGTCATCATTCCAACATCTTATATTTGTAGAGTTCCTTAAAGTTCGCTCAGTGCTTTTAAGTATATCGCATCATTTGATCACCTTATTAGAATGGGTTAATATATTAACAAATGAGACCCTCTAGATAACATATTGATATGTTAACTACTGGAAACAGTACCGTACTCCCCCAAATCCCTCAGATTTGCATTTTTTTTAATACTTTGTAAAGTGTTTACACATCTGTTATTGAAAAGGCTCTAGAGGAGTGGGATTGGGCACTGAGGTGGACTGTAAGAGAAGACATCTTAAGGCAGAAGGGCCTTTTGGACTCAGGGCTGCCACACTGCACAACCCCTGGCGGTGCCATTGACACTGTTGACCCTGGGAATGGCATCTCTGCAGCTAGGCAGGACACTACCTGTGAGCAGACGCAGCAGCTCTGTTTGTGGTCTTCAATTCATTCCCCTCGGTCCTCTCGTTCCTCTGCCCGTGCTAAGAAGACGAGACGGCTTACACCTGCTAGCCAGTAGTGACTTGGAGAGGGCTAGGGAGAGGGACTCCTAACCCTCCACTTTCCAGGACGGACTAACTAAAGCCTCACAATATACTCTTCTTCCCCAAGCCCAGGGGCAGTCATATAACTAAGCTTGGCAGAGAAATTCTTCTTTCAACGCTCAGAGTAAAGCTTCTTGGAGTTACAACTAGAGTAGAGCCCAGAGATTGTGAAACCATATAAAGCACAACAGGATTCTTTTCCTTTTGATGTACAATCCCCTCTCCTAGACAGCTGCCGTTTATAGTTCCGTTACTAAGCTCGTGTTGCCGAGGACCTGCAGACAGGCTGCTGCCATTTTCAGTTTTCCTGATGAATTCAGAGGGGTACCCAGTTTTAGAAATAGTTTGTTTGAGTCTGTGCCCTGGCTGTCAGAGCCCCTTTTTATTAATCTTTTACACCAAAGTGGTATTTTCAGGGCTTCTTGGTTCTTCTGCTACAAACTCACTCTCTCGCTGTGACATTTCTGCTTCAAAGATCCAGGAGGTCTGAATGGGCTCCCAAGACCACTGGTCATCCCAGGAGTTTATGAAGACATCCTCAGAAAGTGTGGCACTTTTCCAGGAAAAAGCAATGAACATTTTGTCCATATATATTTCACGTATTTGCAGTATAAGATTAATTTTAGGCTTCAGAGACATTCTGTTACATTCCTAACAAACCAAAATATTCTAAAAGCATTGCTTGTGTCAAAAGGCCACGTGAGTCAGCTGTCACTGCTAACATTCGCTTCATCTGCATTTCTGTGTTTACGTTGGGTGTGAATTTCAAAAAGTTTACAATCACTTCTCCATAAACAGACAGAGTTTGCCCCAAACTGTATAGAGACCAGACATAAGTGGCAGAAGCCAGATTTCTTTAAAGGCTTCGGCATTCCCTGCTTCCCACACCTCTCTTTGCTCAGGTAGGGGATGTAGAGCTGTGTGACCTTTTCTTATTCTTGGCTGGAAGCGTGGAGACCCACAGAGATAATGTGATACGTTTGAGCAGCCCTGGGAGCTTATAAGAAATGAATGTACAAGGAGCAGGTGCTCCTCACAAATGCTTTAGTGGAAGCTGTCCCTAAAGCCATTTTGTTTGAGGGTGGTCTTGAAAGTTGGAAAGGAGTGGTCTGTGGGTTGTAGGAGCCTCCCCTGCAGTCCCAGCTGCCATACCCTTGGGCAGGAGAGAGAGCTGGTCCTCCTCAACCTGTCCATAATGTTTTCTTTGAACTGTACTCTCACAGTCAATTCCTGCCCAAACTTAACAAATGGTTTTTACTTAATATTACAGATTAAAACACATGTAGATATTATCTTAGCCACCAATTTATGATCAACATTTTAATGAATGTCATTCTTTGTCGTCACCTGAAGTAGTTAACAGAGGTGAGCTTATATTATATACGTGTTATGTATACTATATACGTGTGCATACCTTCGTGCTCTCAGACCAGGAGCTTTCTACTTTACAGCTGTCACACTCTCTGTCCACCTCACACCTAAACTGGGCATGAGGCCATTACAAACCACGTGAATGGAAAATCTGGCAAACTGAGTATTTTCCCCCAACCTCTCTCTACCATTGCATTTTATTTAGTGTTATTGTTTATGTTTGTTATTTTTGATTTTGGCTGTTGCATAATATCTTGAATGATACAAGAGGATTAAAAGGCTTAAAAGTATTTATCAGAGTATAAATACAATGATAACAATAGTCATATCAATACTATAACTCAGAATATATGAACAGACCTTCTCAATAGAGAATGTGAATATAATCAACATACACTGTGAACTTCCTTAACGAGGACAGGAAAACCCATGGGAACAATGATTTTGCACAAGATAAAAGGTATTATTAGAAAGCAAAACAACAAATATCTGAAATTTGAGTGTTACTGGATTGACAACTTAATTTTCCCTAATATTTGGTGTATTATCCATTGAAAAATGTTGTTAATGTTTTCTCCCAGTTGGTGGGTTGTCTTTTCATTTTGTTCATGATTTCCTTTGCCTTGCAGAAGCTTTTTAGTCTGATATAGTCCCATTTGTTTATTTTTTCTTTTGTTTCCCTTGCCTGAGTAGACGTGGTATTCAATAAGATGCTGCTAAGATCGATGTTAAAGAATGTACTGCCTATATTTTCTTCTAGGAGTTTTATGGTTTCAGGTCTTACATTTAAGTCTTTAATCCATTTTGAGTTAATTTTTGTGTATGAGGTAAGATAATGGTCTACTTTCATTCTTTTGCATGTTGCTGTCCAGTTTTCCCAGCACCACTTAGTGAAGAGACTTTCCTTTCTCCATTGTATGTTCTTGGCTCCTTTGCTGAAGAGTAGCCATCCATAGATTTGTGGTTTTATTTCTGGGCTTTTGATTCTGTTCCATTGACCTGTGTGTCTGTCTTTGTGCCAGTACCATGTGTATCTGACAAGGGGTTAATTTCCAAAATATATAAGAACACATACAACTCAACAACAAAGAAACAAACAACCCAATCAAAAGATGGGAAGACAATATGAACAGACATTTTTCCAAAGAAAATATGCAGATGGCCAATAGGCACATGAAAAGATGTTCATCACTAATTATTGGGAAATTGCAAATCAAAACTACAATGAGAGATTGCCTCACACCTGTCAGAATAGCTATAATTACCAAGACAAAAAAATAAAAATGTTGGAGAGGATATACAAAAAAGGGAAGCCTCATACACTGCTGGTGGAAATACAAACTGGTGCAGTCACTATGGAAAACAATGTGAAGATTTCTCAAAAAATTAAAAATAGAAAACTACCATATGACCCAGCTATCCCACTACTTTTGGTATTTATCCAAAGAACATGAAATCAATAATTCAAAGAGATTTATGCACCCCTATGTTCACTGCAGCATTATTCACAATAGCCAAGACGTGGAAGCAACCCAAGTGCCCATCAACTGATGAATGGATAAAGGAGATGTGATATACATATACAATGGAATACTACTCAGCCATAAAAAAGACAAAATCACCCCATTTGCAGCAACGTGGATGGACCTTGAGGGTATTATGCTAAGCGAAATAATCCAGACAAAGACATATACCATATGATTTCACTCATGTGTGGAAGATAAACAAACAGATGGATAAAGAGAACAGATTAATGGTTACCAGAGGGGAAAGGGGTTGGGGGAGGGTGAAAGGGGTAAAGGGGCACATATGTATGGTGATGGATAAAAATTAGACTATTGGTGGTGAGCACAATTCACTCTATACAGAAACTGATATATAATAATGTACAACTGAAATTATACAATGTTATAAACCAATATAACCTCAATAAAATAATTGGAAAAAATAACATTGTCAAATAGAGGCATGAAGACATTGCAGATTTGCATCTTTTTAAAACGAAGCATAACGATATATTCACTAGGAATAATTTCAGCTGCATCCAAGAAATTAACCCCAAAATAACAGTGGCTTGAACAGAGGGAGATTAATTCCTCCTTCTCAAAGAAGTCTGAGGGCAGGCAGTCTAGGGTTGGAATAGTGGGCCCATGGTGTCATCAGAGCCCTGGGCTCTTTTCTCTTTATTCTACCATCTCAATGTGTGGCTTTTGTTTTCACAAATACTTCCTGGTCAAAGATGGCTGCTGGCGTTCCACACATCACAATCTACTCTAGCCAGCAAGAAGTAAGGATAAGCGTACCCATTCCCTTTCAAGGAAAGTTCCCAGAAGTCCTACAAAAACACATTTATGTATATCACTGACCAGAACTTAGTTACCTGAGCATCCAAGCTGCAAGGGAGGTGGGCAGGTAGTCCTCCACCTGAGCAGCATCGTGCCCATCTAGTATTGGAGGTTCTAATACGAAGGAGGAATGGGAGAATGGACACTGCTAGCAGTTTCCTCCACAAATAACTTCCAAAGCAAACCAATCAGCTTTCCAAGGATAGGCAAAAATGATGCTTTCTAGTGTAATAGCAATAAATTTTGTTGCTAAAGGCAAAGAAGAGACCAAAATGGAAGAAGAAATTTAAAGTACTACTACGTATGACAAAAATAGTATTTATAACACAAATCACAAGCGGCTTGTAAAATTAGCCACAAAGTTAATGATAAGTACCATGCTTGAGGGTTATTGGTAAAAGTCCTTTATGAAATGTTCTGTTGTGTATTGCACAATATCAATGAAATATAATGTGAAGGAGCGATTACTATCACAAGTGCATAATAATAGTAAATATTTTACTTTGCAGTTCTATAACCACTGATTTCAGAGTTTTAAATAGCTCCTAACATTTGTCACATTATATATGAGGGAAAATTGCTTGACAAGTTTTTGTTCTATTTATTCCTGAGAACCCATGATCTGGGAGATTTTTGTTCGTTTCGTATATAATAACTTTGTAAGTCATGGTGCAAATAGGAAAGCGTACACTGAGATTAGTTCCGAAGGAGGACCAGTCATGTTTATAGCAAGTAAAAGAGATTCCTTTGAAATGTGAAATCGTTCACTGTTTTATTCACACAGAATAGTTGGCAGTGAAGCAGGCCACAAATCTTAATTTTAGAGGGAAAAGTGCAAGTTGTAAATACAAATAGTGGCTACTTAGTGCATTATGTTCAATGTATTATGCAAAAAATTGGGCAGTAAGTAAAATCTACTGATGGTAGGTAGAACACAGATAGCCTGTGGCATGTGGTGGTGGTGAATGGTTAAATATTTTAACAGTGGTGAACTGGGATGCTATGTAGCTGACGTCTTGACTTTGACTTTCTACAGGTCTTCTGACCTCTAGAACCATGAGGTAATATATGAGTGTTGTTTTAAGCTCGTTTGTGGTAATTTTTTATGCAAGAACAGAAAATAAATACAAATTAATAGAACGTGTTCCAGAAGGTGGGAGAAAAACCTTAAGAAGATTCAGAGGCCTACAGCATCAATGCAATTTTTAGTCTAAGGGTCAGAGGCATGCTGGAACATTCTCTTCAAAGTTTGGGGCAGATTATTGCATCTCGCACTTCCCATCACCAGGAAGGAACACAATGCCTGATAGGTGTCTTAGATTTTTGGAGGCAGGGCATTTATTGCACACTTGGGAATATTGTTTTAACCCATTTACAGGGAGACACATAAAATTGCCAGCTTTGTGTGGGTCTCAGAACAGAAAAGCGATCTGCGATAGGTCCAGGTGGACGGACTTTCCACACTGGGTTTGACTTCTGTTCCAAATACAGGTTGCCTTTTCTGCCTGCAGGACTTCAACCAGCACTGCTAACCAAGGGCTTAGAAAGAGTTTGATCTACAGGCATGGGATCCCACACAAAATTTCACTGGACCAAGACACCCATTATACAGCAAAGGAGGTGAGCAGTGGGCACATGACCATGGTATCCACAGTCCTATCATGTACTCCACCACCCACGGGCTGCTGGACTGACAGAGCACTGGAACAATCTGTTGAAGGGTCAGCTGAGGTGCCATCTTGGAGAGGATGCCCTGTCCAGATGGACCGCTATCCTCTAAGATGTAGTATATACCTCAAATTGTTAAATATTAGATGGTGCTGTGTTTTCAAGACCCAGGAAGCAAGAAGCAGAAGTAAAAATGACCTTGCTTATCATCGGCCCCAGTGACTCCTTTAGAGAATTTGTGCTTCCCTTCTCTTTAACTCTGGATTCTGACATTTTATAGTCTTGTTTCTTAGAGAGTGAATGGGTCCACCAAAGAACACAGCAAGGTTCTATTAAGATAATTAATAGGATTAAGCTCCTGCTCGGTTACTTCAAAGATCTTGTCCCAAGAGACCAATAGGCAAGGAAAGTAGTCACCATACTGGCATGAACAATTGACCTTGACCTTCAGGCAGAGGTAGAGCTGCTCGTACACACTAGGGGCAGGGAAGAATATATTTGGCACTCAAGTGATCCACTTGGGTTGCTCTTGGTAACCGTTGCCCAATTTTGTTGGTAAATGTGGCAGCAACACCACCTGGGAAGGTTATGGTGACCAGTGGCCCGTGGCCACTCTTATCCAGAGATAAAACGTCTGTATCACCTCAGCAGCCCAGCCAGCTAGACCAGCAGAGGTGCTGGTTGAGGGCGAAGAGACTCTAGAACAGATGGTGGAAGCCTGGCAGAAAGACTGTCTGTTACTGCCTCAAGGTCAGTGCAGTGGCAGAGATGGAAGTTTTTCTCCCTAACCTTCTTGTAAGATTCCCCCAGGAAAAGAAACCAAACAGAATACTGGAGGAGTTTCTCCTAGAGTTTATAATACGAAGGAAGTGGATCCAAGTGGAGTAAGGAGTTGTCCACAGAGGATACCATGGTGTGCCACCCAGATCCCCCTCCAGGTCAGTTCATTCATCCCCTGAGCTGGTGGGAGTGTTGGTGGCAAATAACAGTCAGCTGACTTCCCTTTCTGGGACTTTCCATAAGCTGGAGAGAGCTGTCTTGCCCAAACTTATGCAAAGGGGGAACCTGCAATTAACACCTCAATTTTATTTTATTTTGTTTTTTGGTGAGGAAGATTGTTTCTGAGCTAACATCTGTTGCCAATCTTCCTCTTTTTGCTTGAGGAAGATTGTTGCTGAGCTAACATTTGTACCAATCTTCCTCTACTTTGTACGTGTGATGCCACAATATCATGGCTTGATGAGCTGTGTGTAGGTGCATGCCCAGGATTTGAACTGGTGAACCCCGGGCCACTGAAGCAGAGCATGTGAACTTAACCACTATGCCACTGGGCTGGTCCCTAACACCCCAATTTGAGACAACTCTGAAGGATAGCCTCAGCCCCAGAGCTCCCTGTAGGATTGCCTGAGACCCTCGTTGCAATGGTATTGCAGCTCCAACTCACCTCCTGCCCACTCCTGCTTCCTCCTTCCCTCTCAGGTACTGACCCCAAATCACCCTGCTATAAGCCCCCTGCACACAAGCCCCTATCTTGGAGTATGATTCTCGGGTTTCTGACCCGTCATGGAAGGTTTGTGCCAAATTCTATCCACTAGAAATATATGAAATAATAGTTCATCACAGAAGTTTCTGGTATTGGATACTTGGTTTCTCAAACTTGCGGATTTATTTTTTATTGTCTAAATTTATTATACAAAATGATGCACTAGTTTTATTTAGAATTTTAAAAATTACTGGCAAGGTTAAAAATATTCTCACATGTTTGTTTGTAGAATGTCTGTAGGTGTGACGACTGTTGGACTTGGTCTTTATATGTCATCCAGACATTGGCCATTGCTTTCTCACCTTTCCTACTTCGTTCACATGGTGCACAGAGAAGATTTTGACGTGTGCTGGTCTTGTCTACTGTCGAACAAAACACTATTCTGTCCTCCAATCTCCCAAATTCCTAGAAGGGCCAATTAATGAAATTGGGCTGGAAATATGCTAAATATAAATAGGTTTTTAATTAAAGGATTGTAAACATACTTCATGTCTTCTCTTTGTTTGTTTAAGCTCTTCGAACTTGTGACTTCAACTTTTCCAACACCGGGCTATTTTCTCTGGACGCAGGCTTGTACATTTCAGGAGAAATGTGCAGACATAGACCTCAGCATCCATGGCCCTGCATTGGGATCCCCTTCAGACCAACAAAAACTAGCTTTTATCTGACTTCATTAGGAAAGAGTAAACAAACTTGAGGATATTTGGAAGTCTTTTCAAGAGTCAGAAATACTTTAATAACCCTCCAAACTGCTACTGACATTTTAAAATTAGATTATGCAAAGAACTTCATCTCTGGGATGTGGAATTACCTACTGCCAAAAATAACTCAGTGGAGACCTGGAATCTTTTTCCAATTCTGAGAGAAGCGACGTTAGTGGGATTAGTTAACAGACCAGAATCTGCATTTTCAGCAAAGACAGCATATGTGATTAATGGAATATTTGGAAACAGACACCGCCTGACTTAGGATGGCTTAACTTGAGAAGTGCTGTCTTTATAGGCTTATCATAAGCAGCACTTTCATCATAACGAACAAACTTTGTATTGATGAATACTTAACAGCTGAAGCTGATGTGCTTTTAAATAGACTTAAGTCAATGTAAATAGTGATAAAACAACGTGGTGTGCTGATTTGAAAGGTGAGAAAACTTCTCATGATATGAATTCATGATTAGCTAAAGAGCATGCTTCTGAACTAAGCCATAAATTCTTAGCTTATCGATAAGGCATTAATTGTCACTTTTTTTTTAGGTGAGAAAGATTGGCTCTGAGCTATCATCTATTGCCAATCTTCCTCTTTTTGGTTGAGGAAGATTGGTGTTGAGCTAATCACCATGCCAATCTTCCTCTGTTTTGTATGTGGGATGCCACCACAGTATGGCTTGATGAGTGGTGTGTAGGTCCACGCCTGGGTTTCAAACCTGTGAACCCCGGGCCACCAAAGTGGAACATGCGAGTCTAACCACTGCACCACTGGGCTGGCTCCTGATTGTCACTTTTTAAAACTCTTATGAACAGAGCTGGGGAACCATCAGGAAAAGGTGGTAAGTGGAGTAAGGGATGGTTTAATCATTCAGAAAGATAACTGCCGGCAAATTTCAGATTTCAGAGAAAGCTGGAAGGGCTGACATAAAGACATGGAAGGCTTCTCTGGAGAAGTTCGCTGAAGTCTTGGAAGATGAAGGCTACTGTTTAAGACGGGTGTTTCATGTTTTTGAAAAGGGAGCAGGAGATCACTGTAAGAGAGGTCACCTTTGAAACTCCTCCTTTAGAATTGACCATTTGCACTCATTAACTCATCAATGGAAAATTTTGCCCCAAGTGAACAAAATATTGAACATTTCCAGGGTCCTCGGAGCAATGAAGATGGCTGATTCTGATGACTAAGAAACTTACCAGGAGAAGAAAGCATTTTCAGTTCACATTTCACTGGACTCATGTTTTCAGGAACCAAACCCTTAGCCTATGCTCACTTCCACCCCCAGATATTTTCAAATATAGATTTATATTATGTGTTTGGTTTTATATATTAAATATATGTTTATCAAAGACTGTATCCAAAGTGAGGGGATTTTCTTTTCATGATTATTTGCATTTTAATTACATGAAATGGATTTTCAGGAACAAAACTCCAATTCAAGAGTCAACTATGGAACTCTCTTACCTGTCATCCAGAAACTTTATTATAAATCATTCGTCAACAATATCTGTGTTTCTAATTCTAGTTTATCGTTTCTTCTGAGGCACAGAGAAATGAAATGAAGAGATGGGGTTCAGAGTTATTGAACACTATGCCTAGAGGATCTTATTCAGTCTTTATGAACACCACTGCCCAGTAGGTATTATCAACTATACTTGTTTAGGTGAGGACTCTGAGGCTCCAGGAGCTTGAGTGATGGGCCCAGGGTTATTAAAGTTAGTAATTGGCAGAACTGAGACTTAAGTGCAAGCTTATTTTCATATGCTGTTATTGCCAATAATCTATCCTACAAGAAGATAAAAATATGGCATTAAATTATTAATTTTAAAGTAACCATTGTGACATTTACTTCTTTTTATCCCAAAATATGCCTCGCTCAGTGGTGGGCACACAGTAGTGTCCAACAGCGGTAGGTCAAGAAACGGACACAGGATGCTATTTGGAACTGAGCACCCAGGCTCCGGATCCGAAACCCGGGCTCAGTTCCTGGATTCACCGTTATCCGAATATGTACCCTGTGGCAAGTCAGTTTCCTCGTATGGTAAAATGGGGATAAGAATATCCATCTTTTAGGGTGGATGTGAGGATTAATTGGGTTGATGCTAGTAAGTCACTTAGAGTAGTGTCTGGTACATCATAAGTTCTCAGCGAGTATTAGACAGATTCTACCACATTGTAACTGTGTGAACTTGGGCGTGCCTCAGTTTCCTCATCTGTAAAATATGGCAAAATAATTTATCGTGCATGGCGATTTTATTTGGCAAGCATGTACTTTTATAGTCTTTGCTCTGTGCTCTGCCCTGTGCAGGTATTAACTCTAACTTTCATAGGAGCCTAATGAGGCAGATACCATTCCTATCCTCATTTACAGATGAAGCAACTGAGGAACTGGGAGGTTAAATATTTCTTTCAAGGTAACACAACTGGTAATTAACTGAGTTGAGATTCAAACCTAGACACTCTAGCTCCGGAGTCTGAGTTTGTACTGATTACTCTGTGCTACGGATGCAGTGAAACAATATTTGTAAAGCATCTGTCGAATTCCTGACACATAGCAGAAGCTTAGTAGATGTCAGCTCCTCTCCCATCTTCTCATTAAATATCTTTAGAAATTCTCATGGAATGCAAAATGATATGAATTTATCAGCTGGCCTACGTGTTTTCCTAAAATATCCAAGTTTGTGTAATAGCAGCATCCCTGAGTTCTTTAGGGGTGCCCAGAAATATGCGAACATACCTCTCTCTGATTAGGCCCATCTCGGATCATCTTTTCTGTTGACACGTTGGAGTTCCCGGAAGCCAGACATCAGGATGCACTGCGGTGTGTGCCGTGATACCCTGTAGAGCAGCTGTCAGGGATGACAGTCTGGAGCAGAACAGCTGGAGGGCAGAGCTGATGCTTCTAATGACTGAGAACAAGTAATGGAGATGAGGCAGCCAAAGGAGTGGTGTCTGACTGCGGCGCGCACCACCCCATGCTGTTGTGCAGAGCTCCTTGATGAGGACGCTGTAAGAATTCTAGATGGGACAATTCTGTGCTGTGCGGGACTGTCCTGATAGAATCAATCTGAGTTATTTCATACATTGTAGGATTTGTAGCATCCTTGACTCCCAGATACTGAATGCTAGTAACTCCACCTAGCAACAACTAAAAATCAAAACCGGAATATGTTGCCCGGGGGTAAGAGATGGTGTTATCACCTCTATTGAAAACTGCTCCCTGTCTGGCCTTTGGGGTTTACCTGGGATTATGAGCAGACGGCTTCATTATCTATTGCCTTCTGCTCAAAATCAGGGGGCAGCCAGGAACACCTAGCATCAGTGCCACCTGGGAGCTGATTACAAATGCAGAATCTTAGGTCCCATCCCCAACCTCTGGATCAGCATCTGCATTTTAACAAGATCCCCAGTGATTTGCACACAGATTATGGTTTGAGAAACATTGTCTTACTAGATGGAACATGGACTTTGGAGTAAGAAGATCCAGGGTTGAAATTGAGACTCTGCCTCTTACTAGCTGTGTGACCATGGGAAGATCACTTAACCTTTCTGAGCCTCAGTTTCTTCATCTCTAAAAAGATTTTAATACTTTCCCCATGCTGTAGGCATACAATAAGCACTCAATAAATATCATTTCCCTTCTCCCCGATCCCTTCCACCAGGGAACACAGTCAGGAAAACCAGTTTAGTTCTTTGGTGATCATTAGTGAATTATTATCATAGGATATTGTGGCAAGATGAAGAGAAGATGATGTTCATTCTCTCCCTCTGTCTCCTCTTTCCTCACTCTGCTGCGTTCTTCCATAGTTATAGACACAGTACTTATCAAGTTCTAGCCAGGGCATCGCTGGGCCATGACAAACACTGGAAGAGTGGGCTGGTTGGGTGTGACCAGGAATGGGAGAGTACAGCTCTCCCGGTTCAAACAGGTTAGTTCAGTGGAACAAATTACATTTCCAAGGTAAGATTTGGGACTGCCGGCAAAGGCTGGACTGGAAGGGAAGAGTCTAGAGGTCACGATCAGGTCCAGGGAGTTGATTGGGCAGAGGGTGGGGGAATAGGATCAGAGAGATGTCTGGGACCAAGGAAGATGGAAATAAGCCTGTCAGGACACTTTCAGATGCTTTCTCTACATCCTCTTCTGTGCTCCCAGTGTGCCCTGCACGTGACTCCACCAGGGTACCCATCACTCTGGACGGAAACACAGATCTGACTTTTTTATTATTAGATTGAAAGGATTTTGAGGATGAATATTATCTTACAGATTGTCTCCTGTTTCACTTGTTTATATATCTAGGATGTATAAACGGGTACTGTCTGCAATGATGAAAGAGTGAACAAAGTTGTGCCTCCAGTGCTACAATCCCATCGCAGTGCATTCCTTACAGGAACCCACGGGGCCTTTAACAGAGCCAACAGTGAGGCGCTCCCTGAGCAAACGCATCCTCGTTGGTCTCCAATCCTACAAGCCTCTGTCAGGGAGCAGCCTGGGTGTCCCACTGCCCCTCTCTTCTCACTGCTAGTGTCCTATGCATAGAGAAGGAACCCACGGGAAAGGACGGAGAGTTGGCAGAATCTCTACCCACCAGGTCTCCTTTGCTCACGGTTTTGACTGTGGTTGGATTGAGAGCCTGTTACTTTGCAGGGAACCAGCTGCCTCAGTTTCCAGGAGCTCAGAGAGGCTAGGAAAGATTGATTGTGCCTTTCTTTACTGGAGAGCTACCTGCTGGCCCCATGGGATGGCTCAGGAAGTCAGTCCCGAAGAAGTTAGCTCAGGGATTTACCTGGACTCTGATGGGAGGGTGGAAACCGGCCTACGGGAGACAGGCATAAAATGCAGCCTCTCCACTCTGGAGATGAGGCCATGCCCCCGAGTAGAGCTGCTTAATGAGCTTGGCTGCTTTCCAGAAATGGATGTTCAGGAGGAGAGGGCACAACCCCTCCATCAGGCCCGGGCCTCAGGACCTGAGATTAGTTGCCACTGAGGATTACTCATCCTGTGACAGTTAAATGTGTTTGATTTCATTGCAGATCAGCTCCACAGCTTATTATCATGCTCAGCAAAACTGTCTGCGGCCCGGAATTTCCTCACGGGAGGGGAAGGATGGGGGACTTGCTGGGTGTGGAGGGAGGAATGGCCTGTGGACCTTCTATGTTGAAAGTGGATAAATCAAAGGAAACCTGGCTCTTACTCTCTCCCACTCTTCCTAGCAGATCTTTTGTCTAATTCTGGCTTTCTGAAGAATGCATCGTTCTCCTCAGAAGACCCCAAGCAGAGATGGGCAGAGATGGGAGGCATTGGGGGGTGGATGAGGGTGGGGAGAGACCCAGGGCTCCACCTGAAGCAAGCTAAGTGCTGAGAATGGTTTTGAGCCCCTTCTCTACACTCACCCGGCACACTTTTCTATTTCTCTTTGCGGGGGGCTGGAGGGATGGGCAGGACAGAGGAAAGAGCAATGAAAGTAGGGAGTCTTTGCCACTTTATTTACAATGTGAGCTGTTTCCTCTCTCTTTTTCTTTTGTTCATTTCTTTGCTCTTTTTAAATTTTTCAAATGGTAGAAACAGTATCCAGCTCAGTAGCTCCCTTTCTCTTTTCCAGTCCCCAAATTTTACTCACATTTTGAAGGAAGGTTTGAGTCATGCTGCCATGTAAAGAACATGGCCAGGTGAGATGTTGACTGAGGACGAAGAGAACATGCAACGGCTGGTGGAAGAAGAAAGTTATAAATACCAACATGGGCACGTGACTAATTGCAGAAAGGAAGTCTTCATAACTACGCACAATCTCTTCTTTGCTTTGAGATATATATATATATATATATATATATATTAATCAGCTCTTTTTCTCTCCTTCCTCATTCCCCCTCTAGCCAATATAAAGTGTTAGCCCTAGAATTTGGCATTTAGGTCATAGGATATCAAAGGAAGATTGCATCTGAACTAAGAAAGAAGTGAACATTCCCAGAGATAAAGCAACTATGGGATACTGTGTGTTTCTTTTAGGGGGTAAGGGGGCATCTTCAGTTGTGTAAGGGACAGTCACATCATGTCAGGAATAATGTGATGTTGTTACTGTCCTTTTTGGGAAGTTCTAATCTGGGGTAAGAAGCGTGGACTGTGCTCATTTGTTTATTTTCAGCTCAGCATCCCTCCACCCTTTTCTAAGATCTCCTTTTCAACACGGAGGGGAAGCCAGGAACCGCGTCTCTTGCAGGAGGGGAAGCCAGGAACCGCGTCTCTTGCAGTTCCCTTTCCTGTATGGCTCTGGCTAGAGCTTGTTCACGAGAGGTTCTTGGGCGAGATCTGCACAATGGAGAAAAGGCAAAGCCATTCTCGAAAACTGTCTCCGTCAGGGATGGAGGCAGCTGTGGCTTCCCAGTGAGCTCTCGAGGACCCCCGCCTCACTGCCGCAGCCCGAGAGGGTGGCAGCTTCCCAGAGACCCAAGAATCTCAGCACTTACCTGCTGGTGGCTCCTCTAACCTTTATTCTTGCCGTTGTTACAATGTTTGTAAGACAGTAATAAATGGAGAAGTGCTTTCTGTTTTCCCCGTTCAGGCTGTGTTCTGGCACTGGGGCTGGGGGTGGGCATTTGTCTCACACCACTTGACAACACCTGGCTTCTGATTGATTTGAACTTTTCAACACTCTGCCTGGCAACGTTTGCTGTGAATTCTGTCCAAGTGCCAAGGCAGACGTGGCTAGTGAGAGAACAAGACAGTGGTCTGGACTGCCTCACCACCGCTGTTGTGTGGATCTGGTGACAAGGGAAAGGTCAGCCTGGAGTCCCCTGCTGTTGAGTTGATGGCTGTCAGGTGGGTGACCTTGGCTGGAAGTGTCAGAATCTAGATAGAGGCAGCTCAGAGCCTACCAGGCTGGCTGCCCTAAGGGCGGGCCCCTTTGGCCACTCCAGAAACCTTCCTTCAGGGAGGGACCTTGCTTCTGCGGTGGGTACCCAGCCTTGGCCTCAGGTTGTCCCACACTGAGTTCAGACAGGGATGGGCCTGAGTGCGCGAGCCATGAGCCTCTGGCACAGAGTGAGGGCTCTGTGGTCAAGAGCACGGACTCTGGAGGCTGATGTTGGCCTTTGAATTCTGCCCCACCACTTACTAGCTGTGTGACCTTTGGCAAATTTCTACACCTGTGACCCTTAGTTTTCTCATCAGTACAATGAAGATGTTAATAATATCTATGTCACAGGCATGATAATCTCCATGTAAAGTGCTTATAACAGTATCTGGCTCACAGTAAGTGCCACGTGAGAATAAGCTATCATTATCATTATGACACCAAAAAAGACAAGTTGGCATGATGATGGAGCCTTAGGTAAGAGGGGAATGATTCCGAGGGCAGCATCCCTGGCCCTGCTGTGGACTACCACTGGACTCCTGTGGAGAGCAGGGAGGCTGCAAATGGGAACTTGAGAGGAGTTCGCTAAAATTCTGGGAGACAGAGCAGCCCTGTGTTGGTGCCCTAACAGAATGGGGAGAGGCGGGCTCCCCTCTTGGTAGAGACCACAGCCCAGCAGGGCAGCAGGAGTCAGCAGGAAGGTGAGTGCCTGGCAGGGAACATGTGCTCGGGAGTTGACTAGGCTTGGTCTGGTCTGCATGCCAGATGCCCTCAAGACTGCCCAAAATAGCTAAGGGGGACTTTGGAAGGGCCCATTTTAGCAGGAGCTGTGAGAGTCTTAAGAGCTGGGTTATACTTACATCAGATACCAGTCCCTTGAGTGGAAAATGACCAAAGGCTCTGGTAACAGACGGACCTGGTTTGAATCCCACCTCTGACACTTTCTACTGTAAATGCTCGGAGAGCAGGAGCCATCTTACTCATTATGAAGTACACAGGATTCAGTACAGGCATGAACGAATTTACTATCCTGGAACCTCAGTTTTCCCACCTGTTAGATGGAGAGAGTGTAATGACCACTAAAGCTGATGCAGGCATTACTTTAGATGATGCCCACAGGCACCTCGAGTCCCGAATGAATATTACATTCCTTCATTTTTATAGTAAATATTCAGTATCTTGCTTAAAATAGAAACACATTTGTTGACCCAAACTGATTAACGCTTTTTCAGCGTGGTAAATGTAGTCCATTCTACACCTGCCAAAGACTAGAGCCTTTAAGAGACGAGATCATTCCTCTCACAGGTTTGACCAGTGCTTTGCAGGCGTCATTTATGACTCAATACTTTCTGACAAAAATCAAAATATAGTTAACTATTGGTTAGTATATTGAATTTTAGGAGAGTAAAAGATTTCAGATAGGTTACTAAACAATCAAAGCAGATTATGATCTAACTTGGAAAAGTTATAATACAGGAGAAAAAAATCTTGATTTGGACCCAAAATTCATAATATGTAAACACTACATATTATTATTAGGCCTTTTCTTTCTATGCACATTTAAAGTGCTGACTGACCCAGTTCAGGCAAGGTTGGAATAATGGAGTCTTCACTTGCTTTTGTGCCCATGGCAAGGCCTCAAGAAATGACTGAGGGCCAGCTTAAGTGGTTAGGTTTGGCCTGCTCTGCTTTGGCAGCCCAGGTTTGGTTCTCAGGTGTGGACCCACACCACTTGTCAGCTGCTGTGGTGGCGGCTTGCATATAGAAAGAAGACTGGCACAGATGTTAGCTCAGGGTGAATCTTCCTCAGCAAAAAAGAAAAGAAATGACTGTAATCAGTGGGGAAGGGCCTGTTTCACGTTTGGTCCTCTTTCTCCATCTCAACTCTTCCTCCATGCTCTGCCCCTGGAAGCCAGGTAATTAAACTTACTAAATCTGACCTGAAGTTTACATCCACTATCAAGTCAATAAGCTCTAGGGGCCGGCCCAGTGGCGCAGTGGTTAAGTTCACACGTTCTGCTTCGGTGGCCCGGGGTTTGCTAGTTCAGATCCTGGGTGTGGACATGGCATCGCGTGGCAAGCCATGCTGTGGTAGGTGTCCCACATATAAAGTAGAGGAAGATGGGCACGGATGTCAGCTCAGGGCCAGTCTTCCTCAGCAAAAAGAGGAGGATTGGTGGCAGATGTTAGCTCAGGGCTAATCTTCCTCAAAAAAAAAAAACAAAAGAAAAATAAGCTCTAGTTTGCAGGTGGTTCCATTTCTCTCCTATGTTGCAAAACGCATGGGCTTTGTTGTTGCTCTTTTCTTCAGAATCAGAATAATCTTTGGTTAGCTTCTGGGGGTTGAAATTCTATTCCGGATGATTGAAACTCCTTGCTATTTAACAGTCAGATAAGCATGGGTTTGCTGAACTTAATTTTTGAAGAACAAAGTAAGTATCGAATGTTCTATTAATGCCAATATCCCTTAATATGACTTGATTATGTACCACTATTTATTGAATCAAAGTGTTTATTTTTACATCTATTTTACAAGGCATGGTGTATAGTTAAAATCATGCTTGGGAAGTTTCTTCATTTCTGACATCCTTCAATTCTGTTTCAAGATCAGAGAAACCTTCGTGATCTGCAGAAAATATTATTTATTGATGTGGGATAAATATTCTTTAAGAACAAGCCAGGGCTAATTAATACAAGAAGTACTGAGCATACCAACTGAATGGCCTCAATAACAAAACATATCAAAATGTGAATCACCACTGTCAGATGCAAGCTTTTAACAACTTTAATTGATATAATTATAATTAGTATGCAATGTCTTACAACAAATGTAGATACAGTGACATCAAATATCAAAGAAGTTGCACATCTTTCTATCTTTAAATGTCAGCTAACTCACCCCAAGAAAGCAATCTGGCATTGGTCTCTTGGTTAGCACAATTACCAATATCAACTAGCACTTTAAAATCAAAGTTGAAATGGTACATTCATTTGCCAAAAAGAGGTTAAAGGCAAAGAAGGTGAACCAACGTGCAAATTAGCATCTGGCCCCACTGAAAAATTTATTTCCCAGATGCGAGGGATTGAACCATGCACCCTTGCAAGCAAGATGAAGGGCAAATAGATGACCTCAAACCAAAATTAACCCCACAAAGAACCTAGGAGACTTCAGGATGGTAAAGGCCAGAGGTATACTGCTGTTTGTGTTCAGGTGTCAATACTGTGTTACTCCAACCTCCTGGATCCTAACTCAATAGTCCATGAGACCTATGTCCTGGGCCATCCTTTCATTTGGAGATGAAAACCATCCTTTGTGGTCCCAGGCTCGGTTAACCCTGCAGTCAGTCAGCTGTTCTGGCGGGTAGCCCAGAGTTGTAACAGCTGTCTGATGTGGCTACGATATAGCTGTTTTATAGATTTAAGTAAAAACAACACACCAGTATAACAACAAACAAGAAACTGAGATCCCTTATATATCTATGTGATACTTAAAATGTCCATAAATATTTTTCTCCAGAAACTGAAAACACTGTAGACATGATTTTATTAGTCCTCACAACACATTTGTGAGGTAGCATGGGGTGAGGTCAATATGAAGGCATCACCTCCACTGAAGAAATGACGACACAGATGTCCAGGGAGAGCAGGAGACTTCATCAGGGCCATGGGGAAAGACAACAAAGTTGAGTCCCACTCTCTCCTCATCTGCCATCTATGGTAGAGAGGAGGCGGCTTGCCTCCCTCCTGCTCTGACATTCTCTCCAACCCTCTAGGACTACTCCTATCCCTGCACGGCATGTCCTTGATTTAGATCCACTGGAGCCATTTCCCTTGAGGAGACCCGAACAGACTCTCTCCCTGAGGTAAAGGACGTCAATTATCGGCATATTTTTCGGGGGTGGAGGGCTGTGTGTGTGTTTTAAGCAACATTTGTTGAATACAGTTAAAACCTTGTGGCCAACTCAAAAAACAGAAAAAATGCGCTTGGAAACATACGGTTCAACCTATAGGTATTTTAAACTAACACAACAAAGAGTGTTAGAGTTTTTACGGGAAGCTGTCACCTTGCTCAGTATATCTGCTTTAGGTCCAGATCCCTCTCTTTGCCATAAGGATTTGGAAGTTAATAAGAGCAACAAAACCATAAAGTGCTCTTGCACAATAGCAGTCTTTAGTAAGGAAAGATGCTGAGTCTGTGGTTTATAATTGGCCAGGATTCCCTGGGAAGAGGCCGGTCCTCCACCCAGTGTTTCTGACTGAAGCAACATCCAGAAGAGCACCTCTCCAAAGGTGTTTCGTGGACATTTTGTCAAAATGCTTGTGGCTGAGGGAGAAAATATGTATGGAATGTCCTCCTTTTATTGAATTGTCCTTTGGGAAACTGAAGGTGTCTAAAGGGGGTGAGGGGGGGAAGAGGGACAATTATTCAGGCCACGCACGACCAGAGGGACACCCTTGATCATTCCTGGCTATTTTTCTGAGAGTGTCCACTTGTTTTGTTTTTTAATAATCAGATATATCAGAACTCCTGGAAACTGACTTCTTCTTCCCCACGCCTGTTGTGAAACACCTCTGGGGGTTGCTCACTCTCATTTGATATCTAAGGAGTTGAGGAATAATTTCTTTTCAGAGTGTGGGATGGCAGGTTGTGGAAAGTGGCACGGATCCTAGTGTCTCTGACACCAGGGAGGTTTAGAACAGCATGGCAATGGGGGTTTTCATGTCAGGACTTTGCTGGGCCACAGCGAGTGGAAGGATGAGCTGAGGGTCAAGTTTCTGGAAACTAAACAGAGTCATGGCAGCAGGTCCAAGTTTAGAAATAAAAATTGATCCAGTTTCAAGTTCTTTATGACACTGTAGGACAATATAACACATTTTGTAATAGGACCCAATATATGTTTCTATTCCATGAAATCAGGACATAAGACGCCAGTTGCTACTATCAGGTGTGACAGGAGGACAGAGTTAGAGCCATGAAATAAAGCTATCCAGAAAACAGAAATGAAAAGGCAACCATGCATGCCAAAAACAACCCATGAGCCAACAAACTAAATGCTTTTTAGATAGAAATTTAACAAATCATTTCAGTTAGTTAACATAAAAAATATTACTAATCTGGGAATGTCTCGTTTTGTCACAACGGGCATTGTAATATATCAGGGCTTCTTAAACTCAGCACTATTGACGTTTGGGCCAGACAATTCTTTGTTGTGGTGGGCTATTCTGTGCATCATAGCATGCTTACTGCACCCACGGTTTCCACCCACTAGCAGCACCCGCAACCTGTGGCACTCAAAAACCTCACCGGATATTTTGAAGTGTCCCCTGAGGGAAGCAAAGTCGCCTGCTGGTTGAGAACCACTGCAATAAATGGATGCCTGCAAAGATGACCAGTTCTTAAAATTCGTGATGCAGAATTTTAAGACTATACCCAGGGGTGTTCATTTATTAAACAGCAGAATTAACATGGTAAGTGTATGGGAAAAATAAATGGATTAATCAAGGTATCTGTTTCCTTTGGAAATGCCTCACTGAGCAATTACAGATAGACTAGCGCTTTAAAAAATTTTTTTTAAAACAGTTTATAGCCATTATCCAACAGACAGTAAGGCAGCGAACCAGTTGCTTTGTGGGTATAAAGCCAGGATTCTGTGGGCTCGTCCAAGGAATGGATGTCTCCGACAGT